CTAATAGAAGACAAGTACTCCTAGGAGATATTAGATTAGGTGGTCTGCCACACATTCTTTGTTAATATCTAAAGTTTAACCAAATATATAGATAAAAATATTAATATTTATACCACCAAACATGTATACCATAAACATGTATCTCATAATATTTATTTGATATTATAAATATAATTTTTTGTATATAGTTAGGTGGCTTATCAGCCATGGTACAGTGTTTTTCTCTCGCAACAAATCAGCGAACAATACTTTTCAACCTGGTTTTTCAACGAAGCGAACAGGGCCTAAACGTAAGATACATTAACTTGTACTATGCTAGAATTGTATTCTTTTGTAGATAGAGATAGTACTAATTATTAGTAGTAATGAATTAACTTATTTAATTCCACAAACCAAACAAAAAGTTAAAAAAAAAACAAGCGAGGAAATGGGCTACCTTATTCTCAAATAAAACAACATCTGAATCTGTACCTAATGTACAAGCTCTCGTTGAAATAGTTTCAATGAAAAACTTATTAGGAGTCAACAATTGTCTATAACTGATTCCAAACGATTAGCCATTAGAGTCGTCCAAATACTCAAATCGTTAGTTTTTTCCGTGTTTGTGGGGGTTATTGGTGGCCGTTGAAATACCCAAACGATCCAAACAAAAATATGGAAGGATGGATCATGCAATTGTTTATATATGTCCATGCCAAGTTTGAGCTTAAACAAAAAAGTTGTGCAAGGAGAAACAAAAAAGATATGTTATTTGTCCCCCCCCCAGTTTCTCATTACACAATTTTTTATTCAACCTTAAATTTTTACATAAACATAAATGCTTCATTCATCCATATCCATATTTTTGTTAGAATTTTCATACGCTTGTAGATGTGGATTAAATTTGCAGGAGCGCGGGAGAAACTTCATATTCTGTCCTTACTAGCAGTGTTCCACATGAATTTGATATGAAAACACCGTTTAACATCTAGTTACTACTACTATCTTTGTGTGACTACGTGTCGTGCTATATAAAGGATTGGAAATGTTAACTATACTGTTTTCCAGATATTATATAGTCCCTTTCATATTCTTATTTGTATTTGCCCCCTAGCTCCATTTCAAAATATAAGGCGTGGTTTTTATTGAGCAAAAAAATAAAAGGCGTGGTTGTTGCACTTGGCACAACGGTCTCCGAAACACACCTCAGGGTCCAGTCTCCTGCCCCAGCCCAAGCAACGTGGAATATGGGCCTGGAGGCATCGCGACTGGCGAGTAGCCCATTGTCTAGATGGGCCTCGCCATTTTTTCTTTCCCATTTCCCTGATGCGGCTCACCAGGTAAGAAAACTAGAGACACTGGATTATTTGCTTTTGGTAGTTGTTTGGAGTATTCTTCTGTCCCAACAAACTTATTGAGGGAAGGGTATTTAGTTTTACTTATTTATTACTTTATTATGTTTATTATCAATGTTATTTTTTCGAGCCTATGAGAAAACCTATATTACTATCGGTTAGTGAGCCATTAGCCCTGTTTGGAGGGGCTTCTTCCGGCTTCGGCTCCTTTACTATAGCAGTACTATGGCGGAGCCAGAAGAAGCCTCTCACATGCTGCTCCTCCGACTTCTCTTTCTAGTTCATTTTTGGAGGAGCTGGAGCCGTTTTTCTCACAGCTATAGTGCGCACAGTAAAAACAGTAACACACAGTATGTTGGGAGCCGGAGCCGGAGCATCCCGAGTGGCACCAAAAGGGGCCTAAATACATCTGTGCTACTTTTACCGGGTCACGAAAGAATCGACTTGCCGCGGCGAGAAGATGGAGGCTTACTATAGAGAGGTCCGCAAGCTAGAGGAGTAGTTCGACGAATTCAAGCTCCATCACATCCTTTGGCATGACAAGGAGACGGTCAAAACTGGTATACACTCGGGGCAAGGTTGCATCGGGAGTCTTCCTCGATGTACTCTTGGCCTCTTTGATTCGACTCGAAGACGAGCCCACCCCGAGACTGCCCGCTGACCCACATGACGCCTCACCCAAATTACCGGCTGATGGGCAGTGGGATAAAAGGCGAGAGGCGATGGTCATCGAGAGTGACTGGACACACCCCTTCCTTGACTTCTTGAACCACGATATTCTCCCCAGTGGAAAAAACCCGAGCGAAATCCTCGATTGTGTACTGGTGTTGGAGAGTCACTTGCACAAGTGAAACCCCTCCAGAAATCGAGCGCGCCAAGTTTGGCCCTTGCACCAGTATAGGTTCATGGACTAGTTTGTTCAACTTAGAGGACGAGATCAACTTTATTTCGTCTCGTGGCGCATCCTTACAGCAAATTCTCACAAAAACCTCGCATAAGGTTAGCGGGTTATTTTTAGTTTTTTAAGCGACTTGTTCTCAAACTAGAAAATTCACAAGCAATACTCTGCAAGTCAAAGGTACGCAAACTTACTGTTCTTATACACACTTCCAGTCTCCCATAATGAAAGTAACAAATTGTTTAATGATGCGATAATCAAGTATGCAGCGACCAGACGCCAATCACGCCATGATTCATGATTGTGCTGCTGGCGCCTAGGGCCTGTGTGTCTTTGCTTGCTTGCCTCACTGACCTGCCTGCCCCGGTAAGCGAGCAACCGGCGGCGCCAATCTGCTTAATCTATAATCTCATCGGAGCCCCCAAATCACTCGGCTTTAATTTGGCGGTCTGTCTTACGTCTTTCTCTCTCCTATGGTCATTGCTGCTAACACCAACCCCGAGTCCCCCACAAGCAGCAGTCCAAGCTACTAGATCAGTACTTGCCTGCCTGCTCCAGCTCCAGTAATCTTTCTCTCGCTCTCGCCCAACCACCCTTTAAACCCGAGCTACCAGCTAGGCGCCGCGGCGCCGGAGGGCGCGGCGGAGGCAACTGCGTTCGCGCCGCCGGCATGCTCCAGTGTGGGAGAGCTGTCTCGCGTGCTGTACTGTGTCCAAGAAAGGAGGAAGGGCGAAGCTGATCTTCCGAAAGCCAAGGTTTGCACGAATGCTCTGATTTCCCTCTCCTCTCCTTTCCTTTCCCCTGGTGAGATCGATGGGAACCGAGGCTACTCCTTCCAGTTCGCAGCCCCAGAGCGGGGGGATGCTTTTGGATCCGTCGATATTTCCGCGCAAATCTTTTCTTCCCTGCCAAATGTTCCATGTTTCGGGGGTGCGGCTTATCTGCGGCGGCCCTCCGTTTCTGCTCTCTGGATCCTTGCAAGAAAAATTCGAGACCTTGTGGTTGTCATTAGCAGGTTGTTGAGATTAGACGGATTTTTTTTTATTATTCCCCCCTAATTGATCGGGGTTTGCTGCTATTTCCGGTGGATCTGAATGCACTGCGCACATTTCATTTTCGTGAAATCTCATATCGTTTTGGGCAACGGATTGTTGGCAGATGTACTGGTAAGCTGTTGGGGAGCTGTTCAATGCAAAAGGTGCGGGCTTCTCCCAGCAATTGTCAGCTGTCAAAGTAGATAAGTTTGTTTGGTCCGAGTGTTTTCTTTTTGGGATGGCCAGATTTGGTTTGTCAAAGCTACCCTTGTGCAATGCGCATCCGTGATCAATATTTAGGGCAAAGGCCCAAAAGTCGCAGGCAAAATTTTCTTGTACCAAAAAGCTGTCTCCACATTGAAAACATTTGCATCTTTAGTATAGAGTGGGGGTGGGGCTTTTATTGGATTAGGGCATACCGTTTTAGTATGCTACATTCGTAGCATTCAATCTTGTAGTGGTGCATTGGTTCAGGTGCTGTGTGAGTTGTAAATTGGAAACCTGCCTTGGCTTTTGGAGGGTTTGGTGGATCTGAGTTGATTAAACAGAGCTTTTGTTGTTAGTTGGAAATGCTTTTGGTTGGTCATTTGTACAATGCTGATGGGCTTTATTGTTTCTGGGGCCCCTAGAATACACACTCGACTCAGTAATATCTTTAGTGGAAAGACGAGAGCTTTTTGGAGCTAACATTGAGTTTCCAATATTTTCCTTATGATTCAATGGATCTTTTGGTTGGATGTTCTGCTTTAATGGGTTAGTCATGCATGGCATTTTTTAAAGTACAACTTTTTTTTCCTGATTCTTTCTTCATTGAAACATCTGAACTCCTGGACAGAATTGGATTCTTTCTTCTTCTTTTCGAGAGTGGGAGCTTTGCAGCTAATAACGGTAGTCTAGTTTTTCTTGGTTTGTTAATTTCTTCTGGTTGGATCTGAGCCAAGTCACTGGTGCTTCGTTTTTTGGTCTATGCACATTGTCTTCCCAGTGTAAAAATGCTAGCAGAGAAAATCTAATCGCCCATGGCAAGAGCGAGGACTTAGAGGAGTTGGGCATAGCGGTATGAGCTGAGAGGGGCGATTGGGGGCTTCTGAGTGACGGCGCTGGGGTGGCACTCCACTGGCGCAGGTCGCTCCACTTGATTCCTATCAGGAGTTAATTGATATAGGCATATAGCGCAACTTGGCCGTGCTCCTCAGATTCTCATGGGGAAACTGGTTTCGAGAGCGGTACCAGACAGACCCTTAGTGTAGGTAGATTTTCATGAAGTGGTTCTTTTATTGATTCTTTTCTGATTTTATATCATGCTTTACACTTGAATGGACAAACTGCACTGTTGATAAACTGGCCTTTTTCATGAAGGGACTGATGAAATCGGAAGGGGCATACAATATCAACATAATCTTTTTTTACTGCTGTATAGAAATTTACCAGCCATTTGTGTTTCTTGCTTTCGTTAGCATTTGTCAGATATTCACATTAGCTTATACTGTGAATATGGCAGTTATTGTTATTGTTTCATCTTTTCTTCATCGTCAGAGTATGGTCCATGTTTGATTGTTTCTTGTTTGCTGTGTGAATTTTATTCCTTTTTGTGTCTAAAAGGAGATGAATTACATTCATTGATATGAAGAAGTTTGTGTTGCTTTTGCTTTCAGACAAAAAGAATGCTACTCCTAACCTTGAGAGACGTTTAAACTGAAAGCCTTTTCTGGGAGCTATCATTATACTGTCGCAATGTCAAGGGTACCAAAATGGAAGATTGAAAAGACCAAAGTTAAGGTTGTATTCCGGCTGCAATTCCATGCCACAAATGTGAGTTCTCATACATTAATTCTATTGTTTCTTCTTCTCTTGGTTGTTCGCAGGAAATTTTCTTTTAGCAAATTATACTTTCTTTGTTACTAGACTTGCTTGTGCAGTATGTGTGAGCATTATTACTTATTTCTCTAAAACAGGCTTGCTTAATCTGTTACACTAATAATTTTGGTTGCAGATTCCATCAACAGGGTGGGACAAACTATTTTTGTCCTTCATCTCTGCTGATACGGGAAAGGTGAGCGCAAAAACAAATAAGGCAAATGTCAGGAACGGGAGTTGCAAATGGCCTGATCCCATCTATGAAGCAACACGGCTTCTTCAGGATCCTCGGACTAAGACATACGATGACAAGCTATATAAGCTTGTTGTGGCCATGGTGTGTTCCAGAAATTGTTTAATGCTGATCTTTGTCTTGCTCTGTCTCTCCCAATGTTCTTTTAAATTAAGGTGTTGATTTCTGTCAAAAAAGCACTGGAAGAATTTACAAAATAACTGATGTTTACTGTCTTTCACCATATTCGTGGAAATAACAGGGGACGTCACGGTCTAGTATTCTTGGTGAGGTTGATGTCAATCTTGCTGAATTCGCAGAAGCACTGAAGCCGACTTCAATAGCACTTCCTCTTCGTGGTTCTGACTTCGGGACACTGTTACATGTATGTATCTTAAAAAATTCTTCTTTTCGTATACCAGGAGTCACCAGAAGCTGGTATTATGCCATGATGAGAAGTAGTTCAACAGTTTTGTCCTCTTTTTTGTGGGGATAGCAGCTATTTTTTTTTTCTCTGACGTGGTTCTTTGATAAAACCATTTCAGATCACAGCACAACTTCTCACTACAAAAACTGGTTTCAGGTTTGTTTGCCATGCAACAATATATATATTTCTTCTACAAAAGAAGTTATTGTTCCTAATCCTTCTAAATTCTTGTTTGCTACAGAGAATTTGAGCAGCAAAGAGAAACTGGCACCAGAAGCTCTCAGCAGTTATTGAACCAAAGAAGTCACGATCCTGCTGAAGTTGCTGCGGCCTCATCAGACATTGGCATTGATAAGGTTGGTGAATAATATGAATGATGTAGTTGGCATTATTTATGTTCATTTGGTGATAGACTTTCCTGTGTCATGCTGAATAGGTTAATTCGAGGATTAAGCTAAAAGAAAATTCTCTGGGGTTCCCCTTGGCTGAAGATTCTGCAGGATCAACAGATGACTATGAAAATTCGTCACATACTTCAGATGGTATTTTTACTGAAAAGAATGATCCACATGGTGCACATGAAATCAATAGCTTTAGGAGCTCAAGTGACTTACCTCTTTGTTCTACCAGTCGAAGTCCTACACCAGAAAAAGGCGCCCGTTGGGGTAAACACCTTTCACCGCAAGGGAGCAATGATTGGACTCATGGCTGGAGTCCTGAGTACTGTGCTGATAAAGATTTAGCTGCCGCTCGTGATGAGAATAACCGGCTCAGAACCAGATTGGAGGTGGCTGAGTCAGCGTTTTCTCAGCTTAAGACAGAAGCAACATCTCTGGAGCATGTTACTGACAAGTTAGGCACTGAGACACAGGGCCTTGCTCAACAGCTTGCTGTTGAACTCATGTCACGGAATCAACTCACTACTGAAGTGTCCTTGCTAAGAACAGAATGTTCTAGTCTGAAACAAGAGTTGGAAGAAATAAGATCTTCTAAACTCTCGCAGAACAAGTTTGACGTAGAAGGTAAAACTATGATTAAGTATGGTAACGATACTCTTGCTACAGAGTCCATTCATCATCTCCAAACTGAATGGCTGCAAGGCTTGCTACTTCTTGAAAGTAAACTGCAGCAGACCAGAAACAATGCTCTCCATGGACTACAAGCAAGTGATCTTGATTTTCTTCTTGCTGATCTGGGGGCACTTCAACGTGTCATTGAGAACCTCAAGCAAGGTGTTCAACCAGGACAAATGAAAGAAAATCACAATGCAGAACATTTGGTTCCACTTACTGGTTATCTATCAAACTCAGGACATAATGATACCCTCAAGAAAAGTTATGGTGGTAATACAGGCACAATGGAGGAGAAAATGTGTGAGCTCCTGCAGAAGCTGGAGGACTCAAAAACTGAGAAGGAGAATCTCCTGGAGAAGATGAGCCAGATGGAGCGTTACTATGAATCTTTTATCCATAAGCTTGAGGAGAGCCAGAAGCAGACAGCAATTGAATTAGAAAATCTCAGGAAAGAGCATAACTCTTGTTTTTACACAGTTTCTGTCCTCCAAGCCCAGAAGCAAAAAATGCATGAGGAAATGAATGATCAACTAATGAGATTTGTGGAGGACCGAACAGCTTTAGAAGCTCAAAATAAGGAGCTTGAGAGGAGGGCTGTTGCTACAGAAACTGCCCTCAAGAGGGTTCGATTCAATTATTCTGCAGCTGTGGAACGTCTACAGAAAGACCTTGAGTTACTGTCGGTTCAGGTTCTCTCTATGTATGAGTCAAATGAAACTCTTGCCAAGCAATCATTACTAGAAGATTTTGATAGTTTACCTGAGGAACACTCTGCTGTGGAAGATTTATGTGGCAATAATGAACATGAGCAATACAGGCCTGGTGTCAAACAAATCGGACCTGAAGGTCTATATTCAGAGAAAGAAACTGATAGCCAGAAAAATCTTCTTCGGGCACTCAAGATTGAAGAGCTCCGTGCGAGATCAGAGTTTCAAGCACATACTGATTCACGGGGGAACCACTCAAACTTGGAAGGGCCAAGAAGGGCCTCTAGCTCTATGGAGTCTGAGCATTTAGAAATGTTTATTTCCAACATCGAGTGGCAGATATTTTCTGATGTATTACGTGAATCTCACTATGCTGCATTGGATATCATTAAATGCATGCAGGGAAGGTTGCACATGTTAGAAATGCAGCTTCAAGACTCTAATGATGCTAGGCAATCTCTAGTGCTCAGGTTGAACTCTGCATTGGACCAAGCCAAAAGTTTCAAAGAAAGCGAAGCAGGATATGTTTTGAAGTGTGATGATCTGACTGTAAAGAACCAAATATTAGAAGCAAAGTTTCATGATATTACAGTTGAAAATGCTTTGTTTATGGAAAAGCTCACGGAGTCTGAAAGACTTGTTCAGGAACATAAAACTTGTGAAAGCAAGTACAAGGTCTGCGCTGAGGAAGTTATGAGATTGGACAACCTTTTATTCAAAGAAAGTCTACTAACCAACCAGCTTAAGGATGAGCTCATGTCACTAAGAGAAGGTTTTGAGGCCATGAAAGATGAGTTAAATAAGCAATCCTCCATAAACAATGATATACAAATGGTTTCTACATCCCTTCAGGATCAACTGGGTGACCTATGCTCTAAAATTGTATCTTCTAACAAGGAAGTCAACATTTCAGGCTTAGAAGAGGCATCTTTGCTGCATGAACTTGAGAGTAAGAATTACACTGCTGTGATGAAAAGATTGGAATCCTTCCATCAGCAAACATGTGACAAGGTACTTCATCTTCTTGAGGAGAAGGAAGTACTGGAGAAAATGTGTGATGCTCTTCAGAGAAGGTCAGAGGAGGCTGAGACAAAATTGCATGGTATGGAGCAGAAGTTTATATGTGATATGGATGCCACAAAGCAGAAGCTAAACTTGTCTGAGGAACTTGTAGACAAGCTTCAGCAAGAACTGCAGGACATGGCTCACAAACTTAGGATTTGCTCTGATTCTCAAGAAAAATATTCTGTTACCAATGGTGACTTAACATCAAAATTGTCACAAATGGAAATTGAGCTACAGCATGCAACTAGTGAGAATGAGACTCTTGTTGAAAAATTGAAAGAGTTTGGTGTTATTGTAGAGGAACTCGAGAGGACCAAAATATATCTTGCTCAACATGAGGAGGATAACCAGACCTTGACCCAGTCATTACAGTCTAAACATGAATTGTTAGTGCATATGGAGAGTGAAATCAAATGTTTACGTGATGATCTGATGTGCACTGATGAGAATTTTCTAAGAGAAAAGAGACTTAAGGAGGAGCTTGAGTCTGCCCTTGCTAGTCTTACATCACAGCTTGGTGAGAAGGATCAAGTTCTACTTTCTTTTGATGAACACAAAACAGAGCTCATTCATCTGAACGGCCAACTTTTGGACATGGAAAAAACACATAGTTCAATGCAAGATTCGCTCTCACAGAGTGAACAAATCCAAAGGGACCTCAACTGTAAGAATTGCTCTCTTCAGTCCCAGCTTTCAATTCTGGAAAACGAGTTAGGAACAGTTGCTGAGGCCATGCTTTCCAGTGAAATTGAAGCTAGTTATATGAGAAGTCAGGTAAGGGAGGCTGTTGTGCAGCTTAATATGTTAAGAAATGAGTTTGAGAAACTTCAACTCAAAAGCAAAGAGGCTGATGAATTATTACGGGCACACATGTCTACTGAAGCAGAATTAGCCGATAGAAATAGCACACTCGAAGCAGCTATCCATTCTCTTGAAACCAACCTTAGCAGTGTTATTCAAGAGAAGGAAGGTCTTGAGGAGCTTATGAAAGGACATGACGAAGCATCAACTCAAGTTAGTAACAACAAGTCTCGGGATATAGCAGTCAATAACAGTGACAGAGTATTGAAGGATCAAGATGAGATTTCACAGCTTAGAGTCTTGCAGGCAGATCTTGAAGAGCAAGTTGATAATTTGAAATCTACAAAAGATGAGACCGAAATTTTAAACATGATTCTTAGGTCAAAATTGGAGGAGCAAAACACTGTGATGTTATCGTTGCTCCAGAATCAAAGGCATGAGTTGATAAATTCAATAGAACAGAACAAGGATCTTACTAAAAAACTTGCTGAACAAAGTCTGAAGGCAGAAGAGTTCAAAAACTTGTCTATCCATTTGAGAGAGCTAAAAGAAAAGGCTGAAGCTGGAAGAAAGGAGAAGGAAGGATCGTTACATGCCATGCAAGATTCCCTTAGAATTGCATTTATTAAGGAGCAGTATGAATCGAAGGTCCAAGAGCTGAAAGGTCAAGTTTTTGTCAGTAAAAAATATGCTGAAGAGATGCTGCTGAAGCTGCAAAGTGCTTTGGATGATGTTGAAACTGGGAAGAAAAATGAGATTGCTCTTGCTAAGAGAATTGAAGAGTTGTCAATGAAAGTTTCTGAAATGGAGGTGGAGATGCTTGATTTATCAGCTGATAAAAGAGAATTGTCAAATGCATATGACAGCATGATGACAGAACTAGAATGCACAAAACTAAACTTAGATTATTGCAATGAAGAAAAGCAGAAGATTGAAGTCTCTCTTGAAGAGTGCAGCGAGGAACGTAACAGAATAAGGGTGGAACTTGACCTGGTTAAGAAGTTATTGGAGAATATGGCATTAACAGACAATAATGCGTCACGTGATAGTTCTGAATCATCCACCCCTGGAACCACATCGATTGGGCATATTCTTGGAGATGGCAAGGCTGAGTCTGCATCAAAGGCCACACCAAATACAACAAAAATGGATTCAGGGTTACAGGAACGTGAAATTCAGAGTAGAAGTTTATCATCAAATTTGTCTCAAGGAGCAGAGGATGTTGTGAAGTTTGGTGATAATGAAGAGAGCAAGAACTTGGAGGTAATCAATCTACAAACTGTTTGCCTTTTGGTCATTTCACTATTTGTCAAGTTTATGGCAGAACCTTGAAAGGGTATCATATAAATTTTTTGCTAGATTTGTTGTATAAACCGTGAAGCACATAGCAACTCTTGATATATAGATCATGGCTTACAAACCACATTGTGATCTTGAGGTGTAGGGAAATATGATCCAACCTATGAAATTTTAGAATGACTCCCATGCGTAGCGCATAAAATAGATCTTTATTTAGTATGCAAGAGAATTGGTCAACATTCTGACATGCCAAAAAACTGTAACATGATTGCTCAACATTTTGGTTAATTGGACCGTGTTATTTTTTTGGGTTAATTTTACTGATTGGAAATGTAAGTCATTTTGTCATTCCTTTCAGTCAAACTTTTTTAACTCTGACTCTCAATATGTACAGAATTATGTAGATTGGCAACATAAGGCTGATTTCACTAGCTTCATCATGAGAAACACTTTTGTAATTTGTAACCACTTTATCTCAGAATATCATATTTAATGGAGAGGACTAATCAAAAGTGTCATATTGTAGCCATGTTGATATCTTAAAACACGTGCATCTAGATAATGTCAGAGACCACACGTTTTGTGCTTTTACCTTTATCCTTACTGACAAAGCAAATATGTTAGATATTATCATGTGGTCAGTTTACATTTTCAACACCAATTCGTTACATCTTTGGTTCTTTGTTGTTTTTTCCATGACGGATAACATTTATAGTGGTGAGCTGTTGACTGCTTAGTCAGCTGACTTTATTTTGCTGTTGTGAGTTGTGACAGAATTGCGATGAGGAAATGGAATTGTCAACAGAGAACAATTTGAATGTCAACAATAGCATCAAAGATATTTCTCAAGAGCATAAGAAATTAGCAAATGAATTCAACCTTTTCCAGAAGGAGGTAATGATGGAACTTCTCTTGGTGCATTATTTCTTTCAGGTTGTAACACATACTATGTTTGTGAAAAGCAAATTTCACTTGGAAAAACGTCTGACATTTTGGGATTGTCACATATGCCGTTTCTTCCCCCATGCTCATAAAGGAAGACAAAGATACATATGCTAGTACATCTGTAGTGTTAGGACTTGTATTCAGGGTGCTGCGATATTACCATATTATATGAATTACAAAAATGAAGTGATGTGATTAGCATACTTGCTGATTTGCTTGAGCTCATGATGGACAAAGCTTGAATTAGAGATTTACTGGCTTGCCATATATGAAGTTATGAACTATGCACAACTAATGCAATAAGGGCTTGTTTGCTTGTATCTAGGCTTGTGCAGTGTAGGCTCTTATGTAAGCTTGGACAGTGCTCAAAGCTGGCCCAATGCAGCATTAGCTAGTATACTAGATTTAGTCGTGTTAGGCAAGTTGATGGGCCACACAAAAGTGAAATATTCTCACCAAATCCACCCCTACAATTCCCTCCGTTTCAAATTATAGGTCACTTTGACTTTTTTGGTTCATCCATTTTGCTATGTATCTAGACATATTATTATATCTAGATGCATAGCAAAATGGATGTGCCAAAAATGTCAAAGCGACTTATAATTTGGAACGGAGGAAGTAGAACATAAGACCTCTACTAGAATATGGAGGTGACTACATACAACCAAACACAATCTTACCAAACGCAACCTGCTTATGCAAGACAAACAAACACCAAGACATTGCATACATTTATACTGGCTTGAGTTATGATGCATAAGATCTATTGTAGGCTAAGACTAATGCAAGCAACCAATCACACCCTAATTGAATTAGTAATATGATCTCAACGTCACAGTGTCACACGGATGAGTCTTCAACATTTATAACTCAGTATATGTATTAGGCAAGTCTATGTGTGTATTAGGCAAGTCTATGTGTGATTAGCCATGATTAGCACCTGCTATGTATACTTGATTGTATTCCTTGTATACCAGCCATATTGGCTATATATATGAAGGTCACCCCCCCATATTGGGTGTGAGGTGTGTCTCTACAATATGAAATCATGAAGGCTTATAACTCCTGTTAGACAATTTGAGAAACTATATATCTCTGTACATCTCAGTAATGAAACAATGTGTGGCATGATATGGAAGGAGCTGATTTCAATGGAAATTGTTTTTGTATGCAGCTGGAAAGATTGAAAAATGAGAATCTGTCTCCTCTTCTTCCCCTAGACGTTAATCTAACTGACCCATCACTCAGTGGTTTGGAAAGGACATTATCACAACTTGATATGGTATGAGTCCTGTCTGTATAGTAAACGTGAACCTGTACTATGATATATCTCATTATCATTTTTGCATTTGTTACTACTTTAGGCAAATGAGCACTTGCAAAGTATTTTTCCTTCATTTAAAGAGCTTCCTGGTTCTGGCAATGCCTTTGAAAGACTACTCGCTTTGGAACTCGAGCTTGCAGAAGCTCTCCAAGCAAAGAAGAAAACAGACATCCTTTTCCAGAGGTAACTAGTACATTCAATGAGCACTGTTATTTCTTTTCATGCCTGATAATCTAATGAAGCTGGTGCTTTTTTTTTCTTACCTAGAGAACTTTATAAATGATGAATAAAACCATTCTAAACATTGAGCCATCGTAGTACGAGCGTAAATAATGCTTTTGCCATTCTGAATCTTTATCATTTTCTTCTTTGAAGAAATACTAGAGTTGCCTTTGCAATGAAACTAACTAGATAAATGTAGCATCCACAAATTTAGTTTTTTAGACTATAGCTAACTCCCATGCCAATAAGTTTGGCATTCAAATTAACAAAATAGAATCTGGGGACAGCTGCCACATTCAGCTGCTAGGTTTCTGAAGCTAACAGTTGCAGCAGTTTTTTCCACCCTTGAATGGGCAGGAAAACTGCATGCCATTTCATTAAATTGAGAAGGAAAAAAACCCAATTGTGCAACAGCGCCACACGACATACACACCAACAACACTCGGCACCTGGAAATCTTTCAGATCCAAACTACAATCTTCATTGCAATACAAAAATTAGTAGCTTTAGTAAAAACACATCAGTCAAATTTGACTAAACACTAGTATATATTTTGATTCTCTTTGCTCCTTGTTAGTTCATTCTTGAGGCAGCACAATGATGAAGCAGCAGTCTTGCAAAGCTTCAGGGACATCAATGAACTGATACAAGATACTATCGAGTTGAAGAGGAGGCAGATGGCAGTAGAAAATGAGCTAAAAGAGATGCAGGGCAGGTATTCAGAGCTCAGTGTGCAGTTTGCCGAGGTGGAGGGTGAAAGACAGAAGCTCGAAATGAATCTGAAGAACCGAACACCATGGAGATCATAGGGAATCAATGAGAAAACTAACGGAGAAAAAAGTGTCCGCCAGTTGCTGGCTTTGTAAACAATCTTGTTCGACGGCAATGGAATACATTTTGTAATGTAAATATCAGTAGAATCTCAGCATCTGTATCAATTGTAGAGTTGTAAGTGATATTTTTTTTTCTGGAATACGCAGGAGAGCTGCGTATCATTGCATTAAGAAAGGGGATAAAAGGCTTATATAGCCATACAACAGCACACACACACTGCTAAAACTGTAAAAAGACGACCTCCCTCAACAGGCGCCGCTAAACCCCAGGTCGAGCAGCGACCAGTTCACTAATGCCTTTAGCGTCTGCCAACCTCCAGAGAGCGGCTTCTTCTTGTGCAAGGAGAAGCACCCGCTCTATCCTAGGCGAGACACCATTGAACACAATATCATTTCTCTTCTTCCGAAGCATCCAAGCTCCTAGCATGACCAATGAATTGAATCCTCTTTTGGTTCTTTTGTCAAGAGTGCTATCGGCTTGTTGCCACTAGTCAAAGAACCCAGTGGCAGATGGCTGAGGTGCAATATCAGGAGTGCAAATGTGCGAAATAATTGAAACCAGAATTGCCGAGAGAAGACACAGTAAGTAACAGAGGAGGTGCTGAATGGTTTCATCTTCTTGGTCACAGAAGGGGAAGTGCTCAGGATGAGGAAGACCTCTTCTAGCAAGTCTATCAGCTGTCCAACATCGATTATGTGCAACTAACCAAAGGAAGAATTTGCACTTCCTGGAACCCCAATTCTTCCAAATTAGAGTGCTCGGCTCAAATTGGACTGCTCCAAGGAACAAAGCCTCATATGCTGACTTAGTAGAGAATTGACCTGAAATGTTCAATTTCCACTTATGAACATCCTCAACCTCTGGCAGGAGTAATGTTTCCTGAACCAAGTCCCAAATGTCCGAGAATTCTGATAGGACCTCCACAGAGTGGTGCCCCTGGATATCCTGTACCCACTGATTGTCCATTAGTGTTTCCTGAACTGTACGTTTCTTAACCCGCCTCTTGGGTACAGTTGCAAATAAATTGGGAGCTAATAGCTTAATAGATGACCCTTGTAACCACCGATCAGTCCAGAACTTGGTGTTCGCCCCATTGCCGACTTCCGTAGTTACAACAGCATCAAATAGGACCTGTGCATTCCCATGAACCATGACCGGGAAGGCTGCCCATGGCTTATCAGATTCAGTTTTACCCAACCACAACCAACGGACCCTAAGTGTCCAGCCAAATCCTTGAAGGTCTAAAATGCCCAAGCCACCAAGCTCCTTTGGACGGCTCACCTTGGGCCAAGCTAATAAACAATGACCTCCTTTTGCCTCCTTCCTGCCTCGCCACAAAAAATTACGACGAATCTTATCCACTGCCTTTAGACACCATGGAGGAAGCTCCAAGGCAGTGGCGAAATAGATTAGAACTGAGGTGAGAACCGATTGCACATATGTAGCCCGACCAGCTCAATTCATCAACTCATATTTCCAACCTGGCAGATGGTCAACCACCTTCTCAATCAGAGGTTGTAACTGTGTCTCAGACAACTTCTTGATGGAAAGAGGAAGGCCAAGATATTTGTAGGGAAACTCCTGAACTACACATGGAAATTGAGTCTGAACCACAGCCAAGTCTTCATTTGAGCATTGAATAGGAGAGACACTGCATTTCTGAATATTTGTTCTCAGTCCTGAAGATGTGCCAAATAGCCGTAATAGTGCATCCACCATTTTCAAATCTGTGGCGACTGGGCAAAGAAACAGTACCACATCATCGGCATAAAGGGATACACGATGATGAATATTCCTAGTGGAAAATGGCTGCAGCAGCCCTTCAGTGCTCGCCCTATCAATCAATCTATTCAGGACATCCATGACAAGGATAAAAAGCATAGGAGAGAGTGGGTCACCTTGCCTAAGTCCACGCCGGTGATATAAAACCTCACCGGGGACCCCATTGAGTAGCACCCTAGTTGATGACGAGCCAAGCAAGCCACTAATCATATCCCGCCATTTACGTCCAAAACCCCTTCTATGAAGAACCTCCAAAAGAAACGGCCAGGAAACCGAGTCGAAGGCTTTAGAGATGTCCAGCTTCAATAGAATGCGTGGCTGCTTTTGTTGATGCAAGAACCTGGCCATCTGCTGGACAAGTAAGAAATTATCATGAATACAACGCCCTTTCACGAAAGCACTTTGATTGGATGACACCAACTCACTGAGTCTTCTTGCCAAGCGGTTTGCCAACAGTTTTGTGACCAACTTAGCAAAACTGTGGATAAGACATTATGCATAAATGTAACACAACACCTTGTACAAGCGTCTCCAGCTCAGAAACAAATCTTCTTGTTATCTGATTGTTCTTTGCCAACAACCAGCAGCCTTTCAAGGGTGGGTGTATTCACGTTGCTGATTGTATGTATTTTACAGTTATTTGTATAGATCTTTAATTAACGTTGGCTGGAACAACTCCTTGTTCTGATGTTGGTACTGGGAATTTGGCAAACAAGAATGAACCTTGTGATATTCATTCATTTTCATTTGGCATGGACCTCTGGTGCATATCATTCCTCGTATGGTCACTGACAGACCTGGCCCACAAACAGCTGCAAACCAACTGTTAACTGCTCTGCTCGTCCGCTGCAACACGCGAACGGCGAACGCCCAACGACGACCCTTCTTGTCTTGCCTTGCACTCCTTTTCAAATCAAACCCCAGCCGGCCGCCGCCTCCATCGCCAGTCGCCACCCAACTGCGGGCTGCGCGGCCGCCTCGCCTCTCTATCTCCTCAATCCTCCGCTGGCGGCGGAGGCGATGACCACCAAGCCCGCGCCCAAGCCTCGCCGCCCGCCTTCGGCCTCCGGCGCCGCTACAGCGAACGGGAAGGCGCCGTCCTCGTCCAAGCCCACCTCTCCGGTCCACCCTTCGTGAGTGCGCACCACGGCGCCAGGCGCTCGCCCTTCACCTCCCTCTCCAATCAAATCACTCTTCTGTGTTGGTGACGTACTGATCGCGGTGCTCTGCGTGTGCGCGCGTGCGCAGGTCGGCGGCGGAGACGCCGGAGAGGACGGTGAAAAAGCTGCGCTTGGCGCGGGCGCTCACGCTCCCGGAGGCCACCCCGGTGTCGGAGGCGTGCCGGAGGATGGCGGCCAGGCGCGTCGACGCCGCGCTGCTCACCGACGCCAATGGGATGCTCTCGGGCATCCTCACAGCCGAGGTACGAGACGAATGAATCCGGCCATCCGGGAGGTGGAAAGGCGTCGTGGCACCTGTACTGTAGCTGGAAAAGAAAGAGGACCGAAAATGTGTGGTCAGATGTACAGAAAATATTCGATTTTTGGATGAATGGTACTGCAAGTTTGCAATATTCTTCAAATTCCGGGCGAAGGCTGGGCACCGATACATTGAGCTAAAATGAGTTGAATCTTATGCCAGTTCCAGATGAGCTAAATATCTCATTTTCTGGGAGGTCATGCATTTTGGGTTTGGGAGGAACCAGAAGGGGAATATTGGGTGGTTAGAGGAATATTTTGTTTGTCTATAATAATATTTTTCCATTTTCCCTAATGATTTTTGATGGGATTGATCACGAGCGGTGGGATCAATACGAGGATTAGTTCTCAACTGGGACTTTGGGCCTTTGGCACTTGTTTTTCATCTCTTTGTGTAGGACATTGCGGGACGGGTAATAGCTGAGGGTCTCGAGCCTGAGGAAACGCATATGGTGAAGGTGATGACGCGGAACCCGGTTTTTGTTATGTCCAATTCATCGGCCATAGAGGCACTGCAGAAGATGGTCCAAGGTTTTCTTGTTATATATTTTGTACCAATTCCAAACATAAGTATCTGTTGTTAGTTTTACCTTTGGTCATGATCATTATTAATATTTTCGCTGAAGATGATCTGTATCTGGAAAGAGGTAGTGTTGTGATCTGTGGAATGGGAGAAAACCACTGCAAATTAGCTTCTTATGATTTAAATTATCTGTGCAGTTATGTACTGGTGCTTTGGTAGTGAAATTCACTTAGTACTACACCTGATTCCAAATGCATTTACCAGTGAAGTAGGAAGTAGCAGAAGGCCAATTGTAGTAGTGCAGGGAATAAAAGACACCAAATTAGAAATAAAACCAGGTACAAACTATTGCATTTTTACACTGTTGTGGTTCGAAAAGGTACTATTTGAACCGTGTAAATCTTCACACATCTATGTAAAGACCAAATAAAGTTGGGTGAACCTGTCGTTATCATAGGATTGCATATGGTCAAAATTTGGATCATGTAAAATTAGACATGACAAAGAATTTGGATGAACATCTCTTTCATTGACATGGTTTTCTTGCACAGGCAAGTTTAGGCACCTTCCCATAGTGGAACATGGTGAAGTCATTGCTATGGTGGATATTAAGAAGTTCCTTTATGACGCAATTTCAAGAATGGAGAAGGCTGCAGAACAAGGCAGCGCAATAGCAGCTGCTATGGAAGGGGTTGAGAGACAATGGGGAAATGATTTTCCAGGTTTGTTTGCTTTGCTTACTTCGAATAACATTAGAATCAACTTCTCAAATAATATTGAACTGACCTATATGTTAAGATCAAGCTTGATGCATACCAGCTCTCTTTTGACAAAGTGATGTTGTATTTTGATTCTTTTTGCTTAGGACCACATGCATTCATGGAATCTCTTCGAGAACAAATGTTCAAGCCTTCCTTGTCAACTATTATAACTGAAAATAGCTGGTACATTTGCTACTACCAGTAACATCTATTGATTTCGCAATTTACTCTCACTGATTCTTTTTTTTCAAACGTTTCTTTTTCCTCTTAGTGCTCCAGTGGTATGTCCATCAGATCCAGTTACTTTAGCCGCCAAAAAGATGAGGGAACACCGAGTTAACTCAGTTGTTGTCATGACAGGGAATGTGTTGCAAGGAATTCTCACGTATGTTTCTGGCAAGAAATCAGTTATGCTTTTGAGTTTTCCTTTGTTGCAGTTGTTTATTCAGTGCTAACTGCCTGACTCTAGGATGATGAGTTGTGCTGCTTTATGTATGTAGTTCCATTAAATAGGGGTTAACTCATCTGTATGGATTTTCCTCTTTTGAATGTAAAACTGGCATGAAACGCATGATTTGTATTAATATAGTAGAGTTAAAGGCCTAGGCCAAAAACAAGATATGAAAGAAAAACAAAAGAGCATCAAGGATTGATGTGTCGATTATTCTCTATGGATTTTCTTCAGTTCCAAGGATCTGGTCCTGCGAGTACTGGCACAGAATTTATTGCCAGATGCAACTCTGGTAGAAAAGGTACACATACAAATTGAACCATTCATATTTTCTTCTCATGATTTTGCTCTTTATCTGTTCACAATTTGTTTGATTATGTTCTTATGTATCTGTATCTGAAGGTTATGACTGCAAACCCTGACTGTGCCACATTGGACACATCAATCCTAGATGCTCTACATTCGATGCAAGATGGAAAATATCTGCATATTCCCGTCGTAGGCAGAAGCAAGTACTGAATCCTAGTTGCAAAGTAGCGATCCTTTTTAACTGTGTAGCTAACTTAAATATTTGGACAGATGGACAGATTATTGCGTGTTTGGATGCTCTACAGCTAGCCCATGCAGCCATATCCATGGTGAGGGCAAAACCTTTTCTCACTACAACACTATACTGGACACTTCTTTGCTATGGTAATAAGTAATATTTTATCTGAACAGAGCTGAGATTTCAAGAGAATGAGATACATTATTAGGCTTAATTGGGAATGACAAAAGTAAATTTTTGTATTTGTGGAACTGAGATCTGAAATGCTTAGATAAGTTTCTGCTTTCGTTTGAGAAAAGATAAGCTTCTGCCTTGTATTAGCAGCAACTTAAATTTTTATCACTACATAATCCTTATCTTTTATTTTCATTAGGTTGAGGGAACATCTGGAGCAAATGATCTGGCAGACAGTATGATGCAGAAGTTTTGGGATTCTGCTCTTGCCATGCATCCTGCAGAAGAATTTGATGCTCGTAGGTTGATCTTTTTTCTGCTTGCATGTTTGCTTTCCACTTACAAAAGCTCCTTTTTTTTCTTATTACTTGCTTAAACCTGTGCAGCTATGAGTCTCGAATGGTGGCATCAGACAGTGCTGACGGGAAACATGTACATCCTCCTCATGTTAACAGTTCTTTCTGTTTTAAAATTGAAGACAGAAAAGGGCGTATGCACAGATTCAGTTGTGGTTAGTGCTCATTGCTCTTTCTTGATTTTTGTTTCCTGACGATGCATCATAAGGCTGTGCTTCCTTTTCTGTCTACACACAGTTTCAGAAAGCTTAGACGAGCTTGTCTCTACTGTGGCATACAGGCTAGGAACGGATGGTGAAAAGTCGAGCATCAACCTTCTGGTAAGATGTGGATTGTTGTCGAAGCACACACATGTTAATTGGACAAGATGTAGGTCCTCGAAATTTATTACACAATTTGTTGGTAATGCACTCACCTGAATTGTTCTTCATGCTCAACAGTACGACGACGATGAAGGTGACAGGGTTCTCCTGACTAGCGATAGTGACCTTACTGCAGCAATCCAGCATGCCAAATCAGCTGGGTGGAAGGTAATTATCTTCCTGTTTGGCCCACTGAACTACCAAAATGCCCTTTCCCCCATGCAAAGCAGATATTCAGAGTTTCCTTTCCTGTCTCAGGTTCTGAGGCTGCATATGGACGACTCCCAGGTTATGACTGAATCCACCGTGCCGCGAGCGAATACCTCAACCTCACAGAGAGCGCGGACGTCTCTCCGGTTCGGCGTCATTGCCCTCCTCGGCGTCGCGGTAATCGTCTACCTGAAGCGCTCTCAGCTCTGAAACGCTCCACAGTTTAAGTGCTCGCACCACACTGTACAGATTACACTCATCCACCACAAGGTGAAACACAGCAGGTTGTATACGTACTTGGAGATACACAAGTCACACGACAAAATAAGGCTTGGTCTTTTTTTTCCCCTCTGCCACCATGCCAAGGCTGTACAATAGAAACAAAAACACTCAGGCCTCAGGGTGTAAATAGGTGTTGATTTAAAGTAACTTATCCCAGGTGTTTTGTACAGCAACGGTGCTTTATTTAAGAATATATAAGCAAGATAAGACACCTTTGCCATCTTTTGTACAGTACTGAAAGTACAACAGAAAGAAGCTCTCGTAACTGGTGTTTGGTTTGAAAATATCTATAACCTGTGCTGTGCAGTTGAGTGCTGAGCTCCAAAGCTTGTTCAGGGTTTACATAATTGGGAGGTATAATTACTAGACCACCTAAAGTCCAAAAAAGTTAAAGTTCTAAATTTGAATTGAGTCAAACTTCTTAAATTTGACTGAATTTATATAAATATTAGTAATATTTATAACTCCATGTAGCTATAATATAAAAATAATGTATCCCATGATTGATTTCATGATAATGATAGGACGAGGATGTCCGGACGGACGAACCTGACCCGCGCCGCGCCTGTATCTGTACCCGGCCTGCTCCTGTACCTGGACCTGATCTTACCGCGCCTTTACCCCGACCCTGACACGCATGCGCCCGCGTGCGTGCCTTAACAGACACCGCTCCTCTCTCATGCATCCAGCGCTACTCTCTCCATCCATCCCTCTCTCTCTCTCTCTCTGCTTTGCGGGAGAGCGTCTTGGCATGGCGGCGCAGCGGCCTCGGCATGAGCGGGCCACGATGAGGATGCCTGAGCAACCCTCGACATGGCGGCGCAACGGCGCCGATAGCCCCGGTCACGGGAGGACCAGCGCGGCAGGGCCGGCACGAGTGGCTCCCCGGCGGATCTGGCTCCCTCTCCCAGTCATGCGAGCACATCCTCACCGCGTCGCGCAGCCGCCACCGCCTCCGGTGAACTCCATACGCTGACGAGCCTCCATTCTTCCAAACAACATGGAGATGTTGCGCTACGCTTAAAGTGCATGTTGCAAGTGTATGTTTCAATTGTTTCAAATATTTCAGAGGTACGTTGGAAGTGTTTCATATGGATGTTGCAAAAGTAGATCATGATGTTGCATATATTGTAAGTGTTTTAGATGAATGTTGCAAACGTTTGTTCAAAATGTTCCATCTATTTCAGTCGTATGTTTGCAAACATTTTGATATGGATGCTGCATATGTTTTATACATGTTGCAAGAGTATGTTCCAAATGTTTCAGTCTTATGTTACAACAAATGTTTTCATGTCGCAAGTTGTAAGTGTTTATCTGAAAGTTGCATATGTTGCAATGGCCATACACGTATGTTGTTAGTTTATGTTTTAAATGTTTCAGCTGTTTTCGAAAGTATGCTGCAAGTGTTTTATCTGAATGTTGTATATGTTGTAGTGACTATACATATATGTTGCAAACGTATGTTTTCAAATGTTTTATCTGTTTTAGACGTATGCTACAGCAAATGCTTCATGTTGCAAGTGTTACATCAGTAGGGACGGGAAAGCGAGCGCAGGCAGAGACGGTGCCCGCGTGCATGCCCAGCAGCATTGCGTGGATGCGCAGCAGCATGGCATGCGTAGACGCGCAGCAACAGTAGGTTCATGCGGACTCGTGCAGCAGGCGCATACGGGCGTGCAGCAGGCGGAGGCAGGCAACAACAATATGCGCATCAGCCAGGACAGCAGGCGTGTGCAACAGCAGCATGCGCATCAGGTAGATAGGCGCGCATGTCTGGACGGGGCTAGCGTCCGAATGTCCGGACGCTGGCCACACAGTTGATTTAATATTTTTATTTGTTATTATAAATATTACTATTTTATATGGATTTAGCTAAACTTAAAATGTGTGACCATGGCAATAAATAATCAGGTAAGACAGAACTCTCTGTTCCCCGTCAGCACCGCGGAACAGTACAACCCATGCTATCTCGCTCGCCTACTATAAAAGTCCGTGAAGAGCAGACAGACAGGCAGGACCTGTCACTGAGAGGCGGAAGTGCACACACGAGGGGAAAAAAATCCCAACGCTTGTAGCCTTGTACTTGTACTATCACGCACTCCCAGGGTGGGATCGGGATAGGATGGATAGTGTAATGGATAGGATCGCAACAAGAAGCATGGGTGAGTGTGAGTTGGTGACGAAGCATGGATCCGTGGCGAAGCCGACGCTCGCCGTGATACGTGCTCGCCTGCGGGGAGGTGCACGTGTGCCGCCCCGCCGGAGCCCACGTGTCCCCCGCGCCCCCCCCATCCGGAACTCTTCCATCCAGTCGCCGGCCTCATCTCCTCTACCACCAGATCACCTACCAGGAGTAGGACTGTAGGAGTGGGAAGGAGTAGCTAAAGAGGAAACAAACCGAGCAACCTGCCTAGTACGAGTGTACGACTCGAGTGCTCATCGGTCCAGCTCCGGTTCATCCGCTGACCTCCTCTCTTCTTCGTTCTTCCATGCTGTGGAGCGTTAGACCGTGCAGTGCTGGACAGACGAGGCGCCATGGCTCGTAACTAGCAGGCATGGAGCTGGCCTGGAGCTGCTGCTTCTTGCTCTCCTCCTGCGCGCGCGCGCTCCGGCGGCTGCTCCAGCTCCCCGCGCTCCTCTGCTGCGAGGCCATGGCGTGGGCGCTCACCTTCATCGCCTTCCCCCTCCGCATGCTCACCGCCGTCGAGAGGGAGCGCAAGGTGACATTTTTTCTTCTTCTTTTTAGCCTTTGCTCATCGGGCCTTTTACCTGTACGCCATTATAATAGTTCGAAATGATCTACGTGCCATTGAAATTTTGAAAAGTTCCTCAGTACTCTCGTCCGAAGTCTTTTTTATCTACGTGCCACTTTCGTTAGTTTTTCTTGTAACAGCATGCGGAAAAGACGATTTTGCCCTCAGTTATAGAATGTATCAAAATTTTTATTCTGTCCTCAAGTGTCAGTGTAACATCCTGTGATTCAAAAAACTTTACTTTTTTCTCTGTACCATTATGAAAAAAATCATGGTAACAGCGTGTACGTGTGCATGTGAAAAACTTTAATAATTATAATAAATTCAAAATGCATCCAACTTCACTTTTTTCTCTGTACCATTATAAAAAAAATCATGGTAACAGCTTGTACGTGTGCATGTGAATTTTTTTTTCACATGCACACGTACAAGCTGTTACCATGATTTTTTTATAATGGTATAGAGAAAAAAGTGAAGTTTTTTGAATCACAGGATGTTACAGTGGCACTTGAGGAAAGAATGAAAATTTTGATGCATTCTATAACTGAGGGTAAAATCGCTTTTTCGCTTTTACAAGAAAAACTAATAAAAGTAGCACGTAGGTAAAAGAAACTTCAGGCGAGGGTACTGAAGAACTTTTCAAAATTTCAATGAAATGTAGATCATTTTGAACTTTTATAATGGCGTACATGTAATTGTCTCTTGCTCATTGGTAGGACTAGGAGAGGCTGTTCGGTTTCGTCTCACTTATGGGTTGCATTGCATCATGTTCGTTCCAGATGGGTCGGCTGGTTGCGGAGATGCAGGCGCAGATGGACGACCTGGCGTGGGAGAACACGGCGCTGGAGGACAGGCTGCGGGCGGCGCTCCGCGACCAGGAGGCCGTGGAGGCGGTTCTTGACGAGATGGAGGACGAGCACGAGGACGCCCTTGCCAGGATCCATGTCCTCGAGACACAGGTACATACAGCATATTATAGTCGTCTCCTTCGTACGTGCTGCGCTGCGGACTGCGGTGCCAGTCATTGAAGCTTCCTGTCTTTGCTGCTTCTCAGCTCAAGGCGCTGAGGCAGGAGAACATGCGGCTGAACGAGCACAAGGGAAAGTCCAAGTGGGACAAGCCCACGGGGCCGGCGGCGGCTCGCCACGGCAGCGGCGGCAGCCCCGCGTCCGAGCCTGACAAGAAGCCGGCGAATCGTGGGCGGGGAGACGAAGACGTGGCGGCTGCAAAGCGTGCCGACCCGGCGTCGGTGCTCGCGCTGACGACGGAGGCGGCCTCGTCGGTGTCGTCGAGCGCGGCCGCGGACGAGGCCCTGGCGACGGCGGTGGCGCGGCGCTGGAGCCTGTTCAGCCTGGGCATGTCGCTGGCGGTGGGCGCGGTGGCGTGGTCGGCCGACGCGCCGTGCCTGCCGCTGATGGCGGGGCTGTTCGCCGTCGTGGGTGTGTCCATGCGCAGCGTGTCGCGGCTGCGCCGGCGACGCCGTCGCGCTGCTCGGCCTCAACTGGTTCCTCCTCGGCCTGCTCACCTCGCCCATGCTGCCGGGCGTCGCGCACGCCGTCGTCCCGCGCGCCGGCCGAACCCTCGGCCCCGCGCTCACGTGGCTCGCCGCCGCCGCGCCCCTGTGACCCGTGTACCCGGCGCAGGGAAAGCGGCAGCGTGCCCGGTGTCCCGTGTTCGTCGGATACACGTTTCTGTACGCTATATGCCTGTAACTTCACACGTACCGGTACTGTACTATACAACACTGGCACATACGGTCATCGTCGTCATACTGAGTCATCTCGGCGTTTTTTGCTTTTGTGTGATGAACATGAAGCTAGCCGAAACATACTCTGACAAATCCTGAAGCCAGGCACAGCATCTTTCGGGACCTGATGTCTAAAACGGCAAAACCTGATGTGCATCTCGATTAGGGACAGATGAATTCTGCTTCCAGTTCCAGTTCCAGTTCCAGATGACTGGTGCATTTCCATATCGGAATCTCCCTTTCCAAGTTCCAACAATGGCTTTGAGTGACAATCTGTCTTTCTCTGGGACAGTTCCATCCATGCCAACTCGCTTTTTCTGTATTGTTTGGCACAAACAATTGTAAAAGTTCTTTCAATTTGTTACATTTTCCACAAATATTCGTATACATAATACAAGGAGGTAATAACTGCTAGCGTGCCAAAAGAATACCTGGAGCACTTTCAAACTGTTACATTTTTCACCAAGTCCTGAAGCCTCACGCCCAGACACTGCATCTTTCGGGTTCCAGAGATCAAAGCAAAACCTACTCATAACGTGCAACTAGATTAGACGATTATTGATCCTGAAAACAAAGCGACAGATGAATGTTGGTTCCAGACAAGATACGTACTAATTACTGCTGCATTCAGCATTCTTGCCTCTATCCATCTCGGAGTCTCCCCATGCAAGTTCCAACGATGCATTCTTTTGACAATCTGTCTGACTGTACCTGTGACAGTTCCATATCCATACAAACATTTTTTTCTTCGCGCAAACTCTGGCAAAAGATCCTCCACATTGTCAGATATTCACAGGGATTCGCACAAAAGGAGGCTAGCAAAAGAGGAGATCAAATACATGCCCAAAAAAAAACCTGGAGATACATCTGAAACGCAGAGCTGTTCAGTTGATAATACAGTATCATGTAGTAACATTAACTGAACTTTTCCAATAGACAACTTGCTTCCCTGAACTACAAACCAAGGGTGACTAAACCGAGTCAACAAACGGGACAGGTGTACTATAGGAATAGCTGCCATTTCTCATATGAACATGTCTCCGTAGTTGGTAGTATGATTATACATGCTTTGACAGAGTAACATTGCTGCATCTTTACACAAAAGGGTGAAAAAGAAGAAGAAAGGGACAAGAAAAGAAAAAGAAAAATAAAACGAAAAAGAAAAAAGATCAATCTCAGATTACAATTGCATCCCATGATGCCGCCGCTAGTGTACATTTCAAGACCAGAGACGAGATGTTGCCCATCCTCCTCTCCATCAGCCTACACCTTCCAGATAGAATCCTTCAACGCGCAGCAGCATCAGGCCGCGCAGAGACGCACGCCTAGGTAACTAATTCTGGCCGTCGTCTCGCGAAGAAATGCGACGAGGAAGAAACAGACTACGGGTGAAGAGGCCCACCGGCTATGATCCACTCCCAGCTTGGTTACTGAATGGCAACCGGTCGGAGCCCCTCTCAGCTTGGTTACTGAATGGCAACCGGTCAGAGCCCCTCTCAACGGCGTCCCTCCACAACCGATACCGGATCCCGAGCTTGTCATATGATACCGGCCAGTTCCAGATGTTGGCGCCATTGATCATTCGCTCTTGCTGACCAAGAACAAGCCGTAGGTCCTCGTTCAAGACCTGCACAATGATCATCCAGGAGTAGCACGATCAGATATTAGAGATTTCAAGAATATTTTGTGAATCAATTCCAGCTGCATTCTGGCTTACTTTAGAATCAGTATTCAGAGAGGTACTTTTAATTGAGTATTTCCTTGGTCGTATTGATTGATATCTTATAGATAACAATGGTCAATAAACTTAACCACCGTTAAGCGCAAGCTCAGCAAAATTAGCAAAGTAGTTGTCAAGAGCATGGAACTTGCCTTCTCTGCGAAATGTGACCACAGCAGGTGCATGAGTGGTACGTGCTTGAGCCATGGAGCAAAGTCTAGCGACATCCGGTACAGCAGCCTAGTTTTATTCCTAGAGGAGGGCAAGCAAACATGGAGTTGGTGGAGATGTGTAGAACATTGCTGGGTGCTCTTCCCTTCTAGCTTTCCAGGCTTTGAGATGCCAATGGTCGATAAGACCATGCACGGTGGTCGGAACTCCATGTCGATCGGGTAAGGATCCCAGTACCCTTGGAGCCCAGATGCAGGCGTTAAAAACTTCACCAAACTGACAGAAATAACACAATATCAGCATGTTGATTTGCACAAATAATATCACCATGGTTATGAAAGTGTATATTCGTCAGTCAGTCTTCACAAGTGAGATGCAAGGTATATAATACCTTGGAACACTCCAACCCTTGGCAAAGGTGGATGTATGTGTAAAAGGAGCATGAGCAAGGTCCAACAGATTATCCAGGAGGAGTCCATGTTCAACTGGCAGTTCCATCACTATCTGTGGATGATCAGAAGAACACACCGTTACAATATAATACATCTGTGCCATAATAAAATCGCTGCATCATAGGAGGATTTCCCTTTACCTCTGCGTGAATCGTAAATCCTGAAGGAGGCAGCAGAGAAGGGATTGTAGCCTTTGGTGGGTCATCCCCAGGCCAAATCCAAACCATTCCTTCCTGCTCAAAGCATGGCAATGACTGGATGCGCACGTTGAGCATCTTTGTTGATGGCATTTTTTCACATTTCCCATCAGTCGAGTACTCCCAACCTGGAGATCATTATAAATCCTAGATGTTAATTATGCATCATCCTTGCTTTTTTTATATTTTTGTTGAAACAATATCACAAAAGAGCAATAAGAATGTCGAAAAAATAAATTTCCTCCTTTGTCAGCATTTTTCAACTACTTTTAAGGTTGCAGAACTAAATGTGCAGGATCCAATACATCGACCTTTTAAGAGAAAAAATTGTGGTTTATAAGCATGAGAATCTAATTGTCACTACTAAATACTAATTCAGTTATTCAGACAGTGACCCCGAGAATCTCTGAACTAATTCAGACAGTACGAGACTTTCTGTTCTTACCATGGTAGGGGCACTGGATTCTACCCTCGTTTACTGAACCAAGATGCAGCGGGCAAGCCCTGTGAGCACATGTGTTCTGAACACACCCAGGCCTTCCATCTTTTCCTCGGAATATCACCCACTGCTCCTCGAAACAATCTATCGGCACCTAAGAATGCACATATGAATAGCTCATCAAGTAAGCACACTCAGCAACTCCCAACTCTGACTCTGTAATGGCTTTGAGACATTCAGTGTTTTAGTTTACCATGGTGTCATCTTTCAGATCGCTGGAGAAGGCAACTGGGTACCAGAAGTTCTTCAGGCTGGGATTGTACGGCTTCACTGGGCCGGACACGTTAAGACTCCGATGTGGCTGTTTCTTGGCTCGGACATGGGCGGTGGACGATGTGCTTGGAACCAGGGAAGTGGGCTCGGCTGTGGACGTACTGGAGGCTCCATCCGGTGGCAATAGCCTGTCGTTCACCAGGGACTCCATATGCGCTAGCTTGTCAAGCGCAGATGAGACTCTAGCTTCCGATAGATGGACCTGCATCAGACATGTAAAACAAGCATCAGGTTAGGTTCCATGTGGTGGTATTGGTATTCCGTAATCCCGTATTGAAGGGTTTCCTGATGGCTTGTTCTGGTATGGTAGCATACCTGATTGTGAGCTTTTTCCAGCTCCTGCTGCAGCTCGGCAAGCTCTTTCCTCAAGGTTCCGATCGACTTGAACTCCCTCGCTAAGGGGTTGAGGACCTCCACCACCTGCATTTCAGTTGCAGCAATGCACCATGGCACAGAGTCTGTGTCAGTTCCTCACTACATCGATGGCTGAACATCTGATAGCATTCATTCAGCAAGTGAACTGAACTGAACTGAAACAAAGGTTGTGTTTCTCTGAACTTCGCATTGCTGAAACTGAACTGAACTGAATTTGGTACCTTGTTGTGGAGAACCATGATGGTGAGGAGATCCTGGCGCGCCCTCCAGTCGCAGTACTGGATGTCGAATCGGACCACCTCGAGGGCCTCGTTCACGTCCAGGAACTTGCCCTTCTTGATGGGGCACCTCGGCCCGGGGTCATCCACGTGGAACAGGGCCTCCAGGTTGTTGTTCTTCGCAAACTCAGCTCCGTCTTCCCTGAGCACGGCGTACACCTTGATTCCGCCATAGCGGCCAACGCCCTGCACAGCCATAGCATCATCGTCGTCGTCAGAACTAAGAGCTACCCTGGGTTACTGTCCGATTCCCACAAATCTAGTGCTGAAGCTGCTGGGGAGAAAGCTCAGCGATGAGCAGAGATAGGCCTCAGTATCCAGCATATTGCCAATTCCAAAAAAAAAATGACGCAAACGAATGAAGGAGATAAGAACCCAGTGAGAAGCAGGATTCATTCGGAACTTAAAATCGATTCGCACAGGAAAAGTCTTTGCACTATTGTGGCATCAGTCAGAGTCTCAGAGAAGAACAAACAGGGAAGAAACGGAAGACGGTAACGAGGAAGAGGGAGAAAGAACCAACCTTTCTGGAGAAGCAGGCGATGGAGGGCTTAATGAGCAGGTGCGGCACCAAAGACAGCGAAGACACCGTGTTCATGGAGAAGGCCGCCGGCGCCGCCGCTACCGTCGCCGCCGAAGTTTTGAGCAGGGTGAATCCAATCCAAGAGAAAAGAAAAACGAAAATCGGAAAAAAGAAGCTGCTTGTGTCTAATTTTTTCTCGAAAAATGAAATCTGGCGTCTGAAGTGGGCTTGTCGATAAGAGGCCGTAGGTTCTCGCGATCTCCGTGAGCCTCACACGCGCCGCCACGTGTGATCCGGCGCGAGGCTCGAGCTCCGACGTGGCGGCCTCGAGCACCAAGGGTTGCGCGGCCGGAATTTTGCACCCACAAATCTACCGCAACAGTGGCGGGACCCGGGTTGGAAAACTGTCATACGGAACCTTTACCTTTGTGAGAATATAAGATTAGGTTAGTGTTAGGGCCCAAACGGTATGGTCAAGGCAAATTTGACACCGCGCATTCTAATAAGCGCTTCATAAGGGCATGTTTGTATCCTATATGAATTATTGGAGTTTTATCAGTATTTTTCAGGATTTGAAATGAATTGAATTGGCTAGATTCCGATTCGAATCAAAACTACATGAACTACTCCCCCTATTTCAAATTAAGACGTTTTGACTTTATGTTTAGATTATAGTAGAAACTATGTATCTAGAAAAACCAAAACGTCTTATAATTTAAAATGAATAAAGTAAGTCTTTAGGTGCACATGAATTTTCTTTCTAGGAATCAAATTCAGAAGTTTTTTTATTTATATTCAACACGAACGATCTCGTTTGGGAAGTAGTGTCTGGCTACGCAAATACTTATGGCCTTAGG